GGGGAGGCTCTTCTCCTGCGGCTTTAATGACTGACTGACGCTTTGGGGAAAGATGCGCTCTGCAAAAGCTTGGGGTTCGCCTGCCTGAGCCACATGTCCCCGGCTGTGGCCCCCAGGAAGGACCCCCGCTTTTACTTCCCCTACTCCTTTAGGACTTCTCCAAAGCTGGGGGGAAGCCGCAAGCAAGGAGATGAGCCCCGCAGCATTAATAATTTGCAAGTCCCTTTTAGCTGTGCGTTCTCAGCCAGAGGTGGGCCATGGGGGAGGCTCCTGCCAGCACGGGCTGGGGAGTCCCTGCTCTGCCCAGATACATCTGAGCCCGCCAAAGTATCACTGGGCTTTGCACAGAGGGGATCTGGGGGATGCTCAGCACCTCGGGTGAGAGGGCATCTGTCCCTCCAGCAGTTAAGTCTCCGGGTCAGAGTCCTCAAAGGGCTCAGAGACCCCGACTGCAGCTTCCCCGGCCTGACACGACAGTGCAGCCGTCTGTCTGCATCCTGCGCTCTGGGAAGCACCGGCAGGTCTCAGCAGCGGCTGGTAATGGTGCCAGCAGATTTTTGGCATGGTTTTGCGGTATGGTAACTTAATGAGCATAACACGGTCTCCTCTGTGGCTTGTTCCCTGCTGGCAGCTACTTGAGCAGCTCCTGCAACCGTGGGCCCAAAGTGCCGGCACTGCAAGAGTTCATGCCCCAACAAGAAGATTTTTGCTGCAGCTGCGAGTGCTCGGCTTCCCCTGCGGACACCCCTACCGCAGTCACCCAGCTGGAGCAGCAATGAAAGGCATGGATTTTCAAAGGAATAAAGTCCTTTGAGCAGGGGAAATCCCTGCTCTCGAATAGCTGTTACTGACAAAGCAAAGGATTCGGGCACTTACAGTCGGTAACAAACTGTCCTGCTCCAAATCACTGGCTGGCACACGCACCCCGTGGGCTGCTGAAGATGGGATGTCTCATAGAGTGTGTCCAACGCTGTGCTGGGGAGAGAAGAGAGGATGGGGTTTATTGGGATCTGGGCTGGACCCAAACAGGACACCAGGCAGCCCCCTCTGCTGAGGTATGCTTAAGCCACCCAATGTAGGTGGTTGTCCAAGAACTGACAGGGAGGACCACGGCTTCCCTGCCTGCGCCCCGGGGAGAGACAGAGGCCTCAGGGAGGCACTTGCTGCCGACAGCATAATGTCACCAACTGCTGCCAACACAGCATTCAGAATCACGGTAGGCCCAGAGGAATCTGAGACTGGCACAAAAGCCGTGACTCAAAAAAAAAAAAAAAGTTTAAGTAATCAATTTGCTCTAACGTCTCCTTTACCATCCACCGCGATGCTCGCCTAATCCCAGACAGTTGGTGCACCGCTGCGTTTCTTTCGCCAGTGCCCAAAGCACACTCGTGGGAACCCCTCTGTGAGGGCTGTGCTCCCTGGTCCTGCTCCCTGGGGCACTGCTGGAATTACAGGGGCAGACGGGACAGGGCAGAGCTGGTGCCGTGAGCCACAGCTTCCCGCTCCTGGAAAGCGGAGGACGGGGGCAGCACCCCCTTTCTTTTATTTCTCCAGCCAGTCCAGAAATAACGCAAGTCCACAGAGTGCAGGTGAAGCAGCCGTCTGCTGGGAAATGCTGCTGGACCACGGGAGAGCAGAGTAACGCCTGCCCCCAAAACAGCTCTGAGCGAGGCAGACCCTCCCTCGCCCTCCCTGCTTCCATCGAGCTCATCCATCGGCCATCTCCGGCATGGTGGGGCTGACAGCAAGGGGCTGCTCCGTGCCCCCTGCCCGGGACAGACCGTGCAGAGGGAGCGCCAGGGAAAGGACTCTGTTTCCCCGTGAGTGGCCTTAGAACGATGAAGGAACCTGCACGCTGAGCTCTGGAGCGGGAGTGAGGGGGAAATGGGCTGGCTTAGCTTTGGAGCTGGGGTTGGAGAAGAGAGAGCTGCTGCGCCTGGTGAGTCTCGGTGCTTCAGGCAGGCTGCTCGGCACGATGGCTGGCCGGGGAGGCTTTGCACGGTGCTGCCAGCATGGCTGGAGGGCAGGGCTGCTGGGAGGCAGGGCGGGCCAGGAGGCTCTGGCAGGCCCTGGGGAGCTGAGAGAAGCCGGCCGGAGGCCAAACGACAAACCCAAATGGGATTTTTAACACTGCACCTCCCTTGAGGACGGCTGGGAAATGTTAGTGGAGGGCGGCCTGCAACTGTGCCGCAGGGCAGCAGGAGAGGCCGGC